ATTCTAGTGTTTAGCAGGACCCTCGAAGAGCATCAGGGTCATCTCAGGCAGGTCTTGGAGAAGTTGAGGGAAGCTAACTTCAAGATCAATGCAAAGAAGTGCGATTGGGCAAAGACCCAAATTCTGTACCTAGGCCACGTCTTAGACGGAGACGGCGTTAAGCCAGAAGATAGCAAGATCGTAGCGATTAGAGATTGGCCCACGCCACGTACGCTGACAGAGTTGCGCTCGTTCCTGGGCCTAGTTAACTACTATAGGAAGTTCATGAGGAACTTCTCCACCATCGCTGCGCCCCTTCGCAGATTGCTGAGAAAAGAGACAATCTGGAAGTGGGACAAGGACTGCACGTCTGCCATGAAGAAGCTAAAGCAGGCATTGATAGAGTACCCGGTCCTTAAGGTCGCCGATCCGTCCTTGCCTTTTGTCGTTACTACGGATGCTAGCCAGTACGGCATAGGCGCAGTATTACAGCAAGATGATGGCAATGGCTATAGACCCCGTAGAGTTCATGTCCGCCAGGATGCCTTCAGAGAAGGTCGCGACATCTACCTATGAAAGGTTACTCTACGCTCTCAAGCAAGCCTTAGACCACTGGAAGCACTACTTGCTTGGGAGGCACTTCAAAGTCTATTCTGACCATGAGACATTACGATGGTTAAAGACGCAGGCCAAGATGACACCTAAGCTTACTAGGTGGGCCGCAGAGATAGATCAGTATGACTTTGAGCTCAAGCCTGTCAAAGGGAAGTACAACGTAGTCGCGGATGCTCTGAGTAGGAGAGCGGATTACTTTGGGGCAATAGTACATTACCTCGATATAGGGAAGGACCTACAGAAGAGGGTTAGAGAAGCTTACGCGCAGGACCCTATCTATAGCAAGCTCCTTAAGAAAGTCAAGGAAGCCCCAGAGACTGAACCGAATTACCACACTACCGAAGGGTTGCTCTTTGAGAAGACTAATGTCTTTGACCGCCTGTGCATCCCCAATAGTGAAGAGATCCGTAGCCTGATTCTGGGAGAATGCCATGACACAGAGGGTCACTTTGGTTGGCAAAAGACTTTAGCCAATCTTATGCGTGCGTATACCTGGCCAGGGATGAAGAATGACTGCGTAGAGTATGTTCGCAGTTGCGAAGTCTGCCAACGTAATAAGAATTCTATGCACGCCCCGCTAGGTCTTCTCAGACCCTTGCCCATTTCGGATCAGCCGGGAGACTCGGTGTCAATAGATTTCATGGACACTCAAGTCAAGAGCAGGCATGGCAAGAGCCAAGTCATGGTCATAGTTGACCGCTTTAGCAAGTACGCAGTTTTTGTTCCTTTGCCTTCAAAGGCGCGTACCGATTTAGTCATACAGAGGTTCTTTGACTGTTGGGTTAGTGAGAACGGAATCCCGCTGTCAATAGTTAGCGATAGAGATAGTCGTTTTACCAGCCAAAACTGGCAAGATCTCATGGGAGTATATGGGTCTAAGTTGTTGATGTCGTCCGGACGTCATCCAGAGACTAACGGTCAGACGGAACAAATGAACAAGATCCTACAGCAAGTTCTGCGCATGTATATTAGGCCGGATCAGATTAACTGGGATGAGATGTTGCCCAAAGTAGCTAGTGCGTACAATAATAGCGTGCATCTATCTACATGCCGCACTCCCAACGAACTGCACAAGTCCTTTAGACCGCGCAGACCGTTTGAGGGACTCAACCGGGATCAGATTCACAAATTGTCGCCCGGGACCCGGGAGTTTGCTGTGCAACACGAGAAAGAACTAGCTACCGTCGTAGAAAACCTCAGGAAAGCCCAACATAAGATGATAGAGCAAGCGAACAAATATCGTCGCCCTTCACAGTTCCTAGGAGGCGACTTAGTCTGGGTTAGTTCCAAAGAGTTTGCGCCTGAGGAGAACATCCCACAGAAGTTACTGCCCACATATAGAGGATCGTGGCCTGTCCTGGAGGTCAAGGGCAGCGAAGATGGACCGTCCTATACAATAGAACTCCCAGCACACCTCCACACGTACCAGTTTTCCACGCATCGAAGTTACTACCTTGTCAGACAAGTGACCAGTTTCCATCCCGTAGATCGATGATCCCACCGGATATGGATGGGAGATACGACATAGATGGTATAGTGGCTGAAGATGTTTTCAGAACTGGAGGTAGGGGTCGTCCGCARAAACAGTACAAGGTTCATTTTAGCTATCAGGAACCGGAAGACGACCGCTGGTTTACAAGATCTGAACTTCTAGAGACAGCTCCCGATATAGTCCGGGCCTATGAGAGACAACAGAAAGGTAAAGGTCCTGCCTTGGACTGAATTTTTCTCGGAGGACCTCGAATTTAGGCCGGCGGGAGTGAAACGGTAATCACCAGTTCGCAGTAGCGAATGCAGATCTCAGGGCTCGATCCCTAGTTCCCTATCTTACCTGTGTACAGTATTGATGTCAACCCGTAGACTTGAACCCRCGACCTGTAGGATCGCCAGTGGTAGGCAGGGTTTCGTAGGTCACAGCGTAGAAGGGAATCGAACTGTAGACCTGTAGGGTAGGAGTCTAGACAGTCCCAAAGTCGTAGCTGTAGGATGCCTGAAGAGTCAAGGTCGTAGCTGTTACTTACCTGAAAGGGCAAAGTCGCAGCTGCTACAGTACCGAAAGGCCAAGTTCGAGACTTCTAGAAGTGGCCTTTCGGAGTTGGCCTGTGTTCAACAGAGGCAAGTGGTCAAGTGGTGGTAGTCCACCTAGCCCAGTCAGCAGTCCCAGTTAGTCAGTCCGGTCYTGTTCAGCAAGTACCGTCTGGGACTGTGTGCACAWTGTGGGCCAAGGGATACAGGGCAGACCAACGCAGCGCAGAAGTAWAAATCAAGAGGCTGCGTCCAGCCATTCATTCATTCCTGCGGATGCTATGCGGAAGCGCTGCCCCAGCAGCTTGTSCAAGGAGGTCTGCAGTGCGCCCGGAGACGAAGAGGGCAGTGAAGTGTAGTGTAGYGATAGGATAGTGGMAGCCATAGCWGCCATAGCTATAGTAGTGTGTGTGTGTGTGTGTGTGTGTGTTGCGTGTAGAGTGTTGCGTGTGGGACATCCAGGGTGATCCAGAGTGCGAACAGTGAGTTGTGTGGGCGCTCAGTCGCCATAGCCAGTTGAAGAGAACTCCTACCTGGTTACGATATCTTGAGTACTGTGTGGGCGCATGTCGCCAGTTTGCTGTTTCGCTGTTTGCATGCATGACAAGTGTGAAGAAGTCAAGTCTGATTGCAGAGGAGTGCTGGACTTTTATGAATATATATATATCCCATCTGCCTACTCCGAGAGATTAGAATTCCTCACGGAACTACCATCAATGGTACCAGACTCCTCAGAGACAAGGGAGTACAAGATTGGGTAAAAGAATAGATTGCTGATTGGGAACAAGCCAATGAATACTTCAATTCATAATCACAATGGTTTGATGCAGGCCTCAGAGTGATCTCTCAGGGCCTTAGCATCCTTTCAAAAATCAAGGAGCTCCAGAAGAAGAAAGAGAAACAAAAATGTCTGAAACTGATTTTGGAAGAAGAACGCAAAGCAACAGGCCACCCTATTTCAGTAACCTACTGGTTAATGAAACGGGCGGAGTATATGAACAAATGGGAAGGAATGCAAGTTAAGAAAGTAGAGGAACGGACTGGAAAGGCAAGAATAAAGAATTTAATTACAGCGGACATCAAAGATTACAACCATCAAGGAAACAAGTTTCAATGAAAGAGTTAGCTCATCCCTGCTCAAGGTTAGTGTTGCCGGCCAACACGTTAGATGGGATGTGCGAGCATGCGCGCATATACTTTCAAGACATCCTTACATCACACAGAAGACCAAAACTTTGCAGCCTTTGCACCTTTTTGGGAAGCCACTACGGTGGCCTTAAGCCAAGGTGAAAAGAAGATCTGGATAAACCCATCAGCCTCAAAGAACTCACACAAGCAAAGGCTCAAATGGCCCTTCGCAAATCTCCGGGTGAGGACGGACTGCCGGTAGAGTTCTACTCTGCATTCCAGTCTGAACTATCTCCGGCCTTGCTTAAGATCTACAACAGCGTGCTGGAAGGTGAATCTTTGGCTACGGGCATGACCAAAGGAATCATATCATTGATGTATAAAAAAGGGGAGAAATCAGACATAAGGAACTGGCGTCCAATCACATTATTAAACGTATCTTACAAGTTGTTGGCCAAAACCCTGGCAATCAGGCTGGTGCAATCAGACTCGTCTTCTTTCTTGCTCAGCATGCATGCAAACAAATGAAAATCCACACCGGCGTCAGGCTCCCACACAAAGCTCAGAGATATTAAGCCGAGAACACAGTTCAGATGCAAACTCGCTTCGAACTGGCTATGGCGACTGAGCGCCTACACATCACCCTTCTTACACTGTAGCCACAACCAGGGTTGGTCCCCAAGCAGGGTTTTGTGCCCCACCCTGGACCCCCCCCCGGGCCACACCCACCACTGGTGGAACCGGGGCAGCTGCGAGTGCGGGGGCAGGGGTGGAGGGTCGGGGCCGGGGGCGAGGCGGGGGCGGGGCT